GAGCAGAAAAGCTCACCAGAAGCCCTGATGCCCAGATCCCAGAGCACCACATGGCCTCTCTGGTCACATGATTCTCTGTCAGGTACTGGTACTTCAGATCAGGAAACAGCAGCAGTGCATTGGCCAGCATGCAGACGATGGCTGTAGGGATCAGAGCCATTCCCACAGACCTGGAGCAGTGACCGGTGCACATCTCCTGCATCCACACAACATCAGAGAGGACATTAACTCACTGCATCACTGCTGTATCTACACTGCAGTTCGTTAGTGTGTTTGTATACTGCACAAAACTAATTATTGTATTATATGAATTTCATTGATCATTCATTAGAATTTCATTGAATCATTAGATAACAATGTAACCAAGTGGCATCTGCAAAAAAAAATGCTTTTCTCAGTTTGTATTCTGTAGTCTGAGTTTTTCTCATCATTATAATTTGCTGCAAAAATTGCAAATGTATAAAAAAGTAAACTCTACATAAATTATGTTGTATATATATATATATATATATATATATATATACTGTATATTATGATCAAGTGTCCAAACACTGGACGCACTGTGTATTGAAATAATGAAAAGTAGCCTACCTGTTCTGTGACTGTGGAATATGGATTTAGGCTGACTGTTGTCAGAGAAAGCAGGTGCTGTGAGGATAGCTCAGAAGAGTCTTGAGCCGTGAGCCTTTGATTATTCCAAGATGAGGAACTTTGCCTGCTTAAATACAGCTGAGTGTTTCCTACCCACGATTCTGTGACACACACACAAACAGCTGAGGACGGTGAAACTAAAACTGTCATGCTGTACTAATCAAACTGCAGTTTGTGTTTGCACACACATCACACTATCCACTGGCAGTCAAACACTGATTGGTTAGAGGACCAGTGAACTAATGGAGAGCAAATCAGACGAATCAAATCACTTTAATGACACCATATGCACAAGAGCACAAAATGTACACGCAGAGAGTTTTAAAAAGTTTTACTTTAATGCACTATTTAATTAATTCTGTTTTAATAATCTTTGGTTGTGCTTTAAAGTCCCCATGAAATCAAAATGAAAGTTTTTTGGGTGTTAGTATAAATATGTTAGTCTTAATTTTATCTATAAGGCAGTGTGATCCAAAACAGTGACAAAATTTGCATTTAGAAGATATAAGCATTCAAAGCTTGCAGTTCGTCACTTCCGCCAAAACGGCTCAACGATTTGTTTGACGTCACATCGTACTTCAGCTTCTCATCAAACTTTCTGTCCAATCAAATGCTCTCTAGAATCCGAAGCCCCGCCCCCTGCACTATAAAATAGACGCTGAAGCCGCGGCTGAAATCGGTCACTTGTCCACAGAATTAGTATTTTCCGTACAGTGAATGGCACGTAGGTGAACACACAGAGTAACGCTGCGTGTTTCTAAGCATTTCAGGGGACCTTTAAATTATGTGTGTTTTGATGTGCTGACTAACATACTAAAGCACATGTGAACATCAGTGTTGCCAAGTCTGCGGTTTTCCTACGGAATTGGGCTACTTTATCACCGTTGCTGCGGGTTGTTTTTCATGTCCGCGGGTTAAAGTGATCCCGATAACGTGATATTTAGCTACTGGAGTGCGAATTTTACCAGGGGAACCCTGCCAAAAAAGAGTATTTTACCCTCCGGGACGCGATTTTTAATGGGGAGCCCCCCTCAAAATGCGATTGGGCAAGTTTTGGGCTAGTTTTGAGTAGCAGTTGGGTGGGTTTTGTTGTGAAAACCTGGCAACCCTGGTGAACATGTCATGCAATACATGACATAAGGGTTTAGATAGAAACAACATTAGCTCGGCTTAGCCATATTTCAAAGACAACAGAAGCAATTATGACATTACACACAGATGTACTGAAGTCCTACACAAGTGGGTCGAAAAAGCAACTAATTCCAATTAATATACATATAAACTATAATACATTTTCATTTAATTGCAATTAACATGCAATTAAGTGTTCGAAAAGATTATATTCAGTTCACAATTAAGTATATTCATTTAAAGCATATTATTTAATAAGTACTTTTTAAAAGTATTCTAAAGTGTACTTTTGTTCCACAAACAATGGCTTCAGAAGACTATAGATAGTGTGCATGATTTGTATAAACAGTGCTATTTTATATACAACTCTTCAAAATCTCTCCTTCGGAAGAAAGTCATATGGGTTGACATGAGGGTGAATAAATAATGGCAGAAGTTTCATTTTTGAGGCAACTGTTATGATACGCAATAGAGAATTGCAACTTTGTTCTTCACTGATTCATTGTGATGCACCATTAGCACTGATCATACTTCTGCAACCTTCTTGCTTTGGTTTGAGTGTGTAGTTTGTCACATTTATGCATCATATTTGCTCCACAGATTACAACACAATATTTCATATTGTCTTTTTGAGGATCCCATATTTAAATGATGTGTATTTTGTGCTCTTTCTTTAAGATGCTTAGATATCTGCCACTATGGTTGTGTGCAACAGCTGGAAGCAAACTGTGTGAGCAAAACTTCAAATCAGACATGAAATCAAAACTGACCCTATTAACTTTCTTAATGAATGTTGAATAATTCATCCATGCACCATTCAAAAGGTTTGGGATGGTCTGTTTTTGAAAGAAGTTACTTATGCTCACTTAGACCGCGTTTTTTTATCAAAAAGTGCAGTAAAAACAGTAATATTGTGAAATATTATTACAATTTAAACAGACTGTTTTCTATTTGAATATATGTTCAAATGTAATTTATTTCTGTGATCAAAGCTGAATTTTCAGCATCATTACTCTAGTCTTCAGTGTCACATGATCTCTCAGAAATCATTCTAATATGCTGATTTGCTGCAAAAAATGTAACAATTGATCAACTAAATGCATCCTTGCTGAATATATATATATATAAAAAACACTAACCCCAAACTTTTGAATTGTACTACAGTATATGATTAAACGTGATAATTAAAAAGTATTTTTGCAACTGCATTTGCAATTATCAGTGCACATTTTAAACAGAAACCATTTCAACACCTTATATAGCTTTCATTTTGGACATCACTGCTTTCTGCGCAGCACTGGGGGATTTTTTTGTCACCAGAAGTGAGGAATATTACTCATGTTGTATGAAGATGCACGAGACTCAAGAGGGAAGTGCTGCAACCAACTTCGACCCCAAAAATATGGGAAATGCTAAAAGAAGTCCATAACAGGCTATAAGCAAAGCCACAAGGAAGGAACTGAGTTGTTTGAGTTGTTATAAATGTAATAGAGTGGAATGTGATGAGGCAAGACTAGACCGAACATCCACAGTCTGCTTCACTGATCATCTGACGGACTCTTTCCCAGGCTTCACATGACAGTTCAGAGGATAATACTTCTCAATACTTTGCTGTTTTTGCAATCCTTATATAGAAAAGTCCCACAGATGGCCATGACAATGCAGATCACCAGTGATTTAGTACAGGATCTGAGAGTTTCATTATTGTTCATATTTAGGATTACACTACAAAATTGTCACTTGTCTTGAAATTGCTAGTACACATTGAACTTAACGTGGAATTTTAGTAAGACAATTTTAGTATTGCACATACATTGCACATCCATTCATTTGGATAACAGTTTTGAAATAAACTAATAATCTTTGTGTGATGCATATTTGTCTGTTATACATAAATGAAGAAGGTAAGATTTCTGCAAACTATGCATCTATTTTCAAAATGCATGTTCTATAACTGTTTAGAATCAGCATAATCTGTTCATTGTGAAAACAAATTGATTCAGTAAAAAAAAAAAATAATAATAATAATGCACATGGTTAAAATAAGACAAGCAATATTCAGTTAGTTCAAATGTATGAGATCAAAACTAATCCAAATGGATGGAAATAGTAAATGCAAATACAAATAAATACAATATATTTGCAAATACAATTTTTTTTTTAAAAACCAGATCTTATTAAAAAAAAAAAAACATGCTACATGTATGCCTTTATTTTTTATGTATTAATTCATATTGTCTAGATCCGTTCACTTATATAGAGAGCATGTGTGTTCAGCAGTGTTTAAGCACTATATGAAAAATATGCACATACGAAAAATATGGAGTAATGATCATAAAACATGGACAATTGGAGACCAAGATGAACTTCAATATCTGCCCTGACCGAACAAATCACCTGACTTATCAGACCATTGTGGATAGTTTGAGAGAGAAGTGTGAGAAGCAGATTCCCTCCTCAAACATCTCTGAAGTAGCTAGCAGATGTTCTGATAGACAACATTCAGATGTTGTATGAATCTATTCTATAATATCTATAATAAAGGCAAATGGTGTTAATGAAGAAAAATTGCCTATTTCTCAGGTGATCACATTATTTTGTCTATTTTGTCCGTGGTGTGTATATACAATACATATATGTATTTGTATATATGTATTTGTGTATTTGTATATATGTATTAACAACTCTGTGACTGTTCTTGAATGGCCCAGCCAGAGCCCTGACTTAAACCCAATTGAGCATCTCTGGAGAGACCTAAAAATGGCTGTCCACCAACGTTTACCGTCCAACCTGACAGAACTGGAGAGGATTTGCAAGGAGGAATGGCAGAGGATCCCCAATTCCAGGTGTGAAAAACTTGTTGCATTTTTCCCAAAAAGACTCATGGCTGTATTAGATCAAGAGGGTGCTTCTACTAAATACTGAGCATTTTTCAGTTTTTCTTTTTTAATAAATCTGCAAAGATGTCAACAATTCTGTGTTTTTCTGTCAATATGGGGTGCTGTGTGTACATTAATGAGGAAAAAAAATTAACTTAAATGATTTTAGCAAATGGCTGCAATATAACAAAGAGTGAAAAATTTAAGGGGGTCTGAATACTTTCCGTACCCACTGTATATATATTTAGATTTTTCTCCCTTAAAACCCCAAACCACCCAGAATAATTTAGGTCCTTGCTTTTTATTCACTTGTCAAATAACCACACAACACTTTTTTTTTGTAAACCGAACTTTCCTTTTATTCAATCAAAGTGAAAATGCCTGCAAATGCTTACAAAATGACTTTCTTCTGCAGCATTCACACCATTTCCAAACTCTAAGCTAGTCATGACTATAAAAACGCTCCAGAAAACCATTTCATCATGACTTCACAGGATGACCCTCCCTAGAAAGGCACTGAAGGAGTATCAGCAACATATGGGCAGAAACTGAAAAAGACAACGGAAACCGGCTGCAGGACGTCCTTTAGTAGCAGCACAGCACCTAACAAGGGTTTCGAGTCTGAAGGGTGAATAAGATACCAGATAAAAGCAGCAGAGCATCATTCAGCTGCTCAGGTTGGGGAACATCTCAGTAAGGGTGGTCTGTTTCGCCCCCTTCTTCAAAGCAGCCGGGAAGGTTGTTGAAGGAGAAGATGCAGGGCTCTTCCCAGGGGTCGTTCCTACTGTTCCAGACCGTGTCGTACTGATGTTCTTACTCGCATTTTCCTCGTCTGGGTTTGTGCTTGTGGAAGGCGGAGTGGGTTTTTGTCGGAGTGGATAGCCGTTGGCTGAACCCTTCCTGCGGTCCACGGTGTTTTCACGGTTCAGCTCCCTCTGAAGTCGCATGGCCAGTCTCCGGTCCTCCTCCTCCTGCTGCCAGTGGCTCTGTAAGGCCTCCTCGTACCACGCCACTTCAGACAGGAACGTGCTGTCGGCTAAAGGAGACTCACAATGCGGAGCGGCACAGGGCCTCTTACCGAGCAGATCCGCTTCAGTCTGAAGCTCGACCTCTGAACTCTTCCTTTTCAGCGAGCTGCTGTTTGGACTGATAAAATCAAACGTGTGTTCTGAGCAGCTGGAGCTGGAGGTGGAGGGTTTCCCGCTGTAGTCCAGCACAGACGTGCTCAGTTTGCTTGTGTCCGCCACAGATTGTGCTGAGAGGGTTTTTGGAGGGCTCAGAATGTTTTCCTGAAAAACAGGAACATTTATAAACTCGTTTTCTCCATTAACAACTGGAAATTGCCCAGAAAGTGTTTTATCTTCAACTAAACATGCATGAACTTTGCACATACACTATCATTCAAAAGTGTGTGGCCAGTAAAAGTGACAATAAAGACATTTATAATGTTACAAATTATTTCTGTTTCAAATAAATGCTGCTATTTTGAACTTTCTATTCATCAAAGAATTATTTTAAAAAATGATCACGGTTTCATAAAAATAAATGACATTTTAAAAATATATTTTAAAAAATAATGGTTATTTTAAATAGTAATAAATACAGTATTTCACAATATTATTGTTTTTACTGTATTGTTGATTAAATGAATGCAGCCTTGGTAAACAGAAGAGACTTCTCAACAATGAAATTAAAAACAAAAAGCACAAGAGTTTGTTCCCAATCATTAATTTTATTTTTACTTTTTTATGTCTATTTTTTTATATTAATGCATTTTAGAGCAAAACTATTTTTCATTTGGTACAAAAAAGAATTTATAGTAAGAATTAACTTAATATTGTGATTTTACTTTTATCCTATTCATCTGTAAACATGCATGTTGTTTCCCTTCATATGTATATAATCGATGTCTTTCTTAAAAAAATAATACATTAAAAAATAAAAATCCTCAACCTCACTAAAACATACTCAGTTTTCCTGAGATTTATTTACAAAAAAAAAAAAGAATAAAATAAAACAAGAGTATAACTATAAAAATATATATATAAATAAAATAAAGCTACTGTTTCTCAAGTATCATGTTTAGTCTCAAAGACATTTATTTATGGATTTATTGAGATTTTTTTCTTTTAGATCTGATTGATTCTGATATTCTTTCAATTTGTTTTCTTTTTTTTTTAGCCTATTAATTTTAGTTGATTTCATTTGCAATCATTTCATTTATAAAATGAAAGAAATCACCTTATTAGCCACCAGAGAGGAGTCTGGGCTGCTGTCAGAACTGCTCGGCTGCTTATGAGGCACTGGACGCAAAAACCTGACATACAAGAGAATTTTAATGCATTAAGCGCATTAAAAAAACTCTTTCAGCACATTCAACAAAAGCCAGGTCTGAAAAGATGATGAGTTATGTTATATGATATACTGGGGCTCAACAGCAGCTACTCACTTCTCAATGTTTGGTTTTGTCTTCTTTGCTGGTGTATTATCAGTAGGTTTGGCGGACCATGATGTTTCAGAGATTGGTCCTGAATTCTGCACAAACACCACACAACAGCATTACATCATCTCTGATTACTGACAGGTCTGCAAAGGAAACTAAAACTGCAGCAGCATTTCGAGGTTTATGACTTTATGAATTCAGGACTTTCTGCTCCAATTTAGGCCTTAATCTGTGGAAGGGTTAAGTCTTTTTAAAACCTTTTTAAGACTCACAGAAAATGTGTGATTTGTTTTTGGCAAGATTTATTTAAATAAACATTAAAAATAATGTTTTGTTTAAGAACAAGTAAACAGGAACCAAAAAAAAAGTATGCAGATTCAGCCTAAATAATGCAGTCACTTAGTCACCAATATGGCACCGGTACCTATTAGGGGTTGCACCGACTAATCGACTTCAAAGCTCTGCCATGACGCTTTAAGCTTGACGTCGACTAGTCGCTGGTCCTATAGAGGGTGCAACAGGATAAGAAATCTTTGAAGGACTTCCACATTTACGCTCCGTTTCCAAACAGTTCAAATGACAAATAAATGCATACTCTGAAAGCGCTCCACAAGACGTGTGATTATGTTACTGGATGCTCGAAATCGAACAGGAGAATGCACGTTTTAAACAGCTCATTGTACAGGTAAGTTAATCGCCGTTCTAATCGAATGCGCTGCTGCACTGTAACGCACACACATAGGCTACAGACAGTAGCGCGTACATCACGCGCACAGAGTCATTCAGCGCGGAAATGTATTGTCAACACTGTTCTGTGATTTCTCAATAAAATAGCTTAGAAACTGAAAAGTTCAAGCATATATTTCGAAATTTTAAAAATCGTGGCTTCATCGGAATGAGATGACACTTGGTGACTTTTGTCACATTAGCTGTGTGAACACATCTCATCATAACAACAAATCATGCGCATGATTCAGATATGTTAAAGGGTTAAAAATGGAAAAAAAGGAACCTTTGCGGTCAAAAATGACAGTTTAAAAAATAGCTCATAAAAATTTTATAAATATTGCATTGTATCATAAAATCCCCTCAGATTTCTAAATAAGAATCAAAAAATATTATATCAAATATTATATCAAAAATAAATTACATTGATTTTCCTGAAAATAAATAAATACATATATACACACATATATATATATATAGTTACATTTCAAGGCTTTGGTCACGTTTGACTGCAAAGGTACCAAGTTTGTCCCAAAAATGAAGAGGCCCAGAGGGTTAAGATCTGTTCACTGAAAGGTTCTCTCTGGAACTAAATGACATTGCTGCGAAAACCCCGTTTTGGAGGCTTGATTTTTAAGAGTGTTCCATTTTTGTCCTTTAATGTGCCTCAGGTAGACATCTGTTCCTGTGCTCAAGAACATCAGAGGGGTTTTCTATTTTGATCTAGGTTGCTTCTGTCTGTACAGATTTATGTCAGTGGTCTCAGAGCAGTCGTTTCAGATTCAGATTGTGAAAACAGTGCGTGATGGAAAGAGCGATCTGTTGTTTTCACCAGACAGCACTAAACACTTCTTCTGGCTTTGACACAGACTTTTATGACCCTTAATGCCTCTCCATTTCACACTTGTTCTGAGTTAATTCAATTTTCAGTGAGTATTTTGTTTCTGTGGGTTGATTTAGGTCTGTAAATTTAATACATTACCTTAGTGTATATATATATATGTGTGTGTGTGTACATGAACCAACAATTAAAAATAGCGCAGATAGAATACAAGAACGTGTTTTCAGAGAGATTTACAAACTGAATGGATTGCTGTGGACTGCAGGCCAACAACTGGCTTACATTCAATATCATTGAAATAAAACAAACAATACATTGAGTTTTAAAGCCGTTTTGAAATATCTAATCAATTCTTTAACACAATAATGTAATTTCCTTGACCGTATCCTCTATTAGGATGTTGATATGCAACTTTAATCAACTCACAGCTTTAATTAATTAATAGCTTTTTTGTAATTGCATTGCATAGATTTTTTAGTGCTATCCCATGGCAGAATATATCTATGCTTGTGCTGCAAAAGACTACATATACACATCATAACTGGAGCGATAAGCCATATTTATATGCTTCAGTGAGTTTGTGGACGTGGTATCTTCATGAAATATGGAGTCATTTGCAAAAAGATGAAAATGACTGATAAAAAGATGCTCGTACATCTTGCTTGTACATTGAAAAGTGAAAGAACCTCAGGATCTTCAACAAAGTACACTGGCAGCATTAAAAACTACTCAAATATACTGTTAATACTGTCATTTTTGGACATGGTATCATAGTAATACCATGTTTTTTGCACATTGACTTGACTTGGCCAATTTGAAACTGCATTTCCTTTGGAGAATCATGTGATGATTTGATATCATGCTAAAGTACCATGATATTACCACCTGGCCATCATTGTAGCATACTAACCCCAAAAAAGAAAGACATACAGGTTTGTAATTACATGAGGGTTAGTAAATGACAGAATTTTCATTTCTAGAGAACTGTCCCTTTAACTGCTGATGAAGCCCATGCCAAAACATCAATTTGCTTTTGACTGAAAATCTGACAGATATTTGGAAGTGGAAGTGCTTTTTAAGGCAATGCGCTTACAAAGCTTACAGACACAGAGCAGTGCTGTTTTTAACCCCTGGAGGGTGTCTGGAAAGCGCTGACTCCTGCAGACCTCACGTTTAGAGGAGGTCCTCTCCACAGCTCACTGGACAGTTGGGTTTTTACTCCCTGAGGAACGAGAGGTACATTACCTCCATTGCCCCTTCTGCGGGAACCAAGATCACTCAGAGAGCGCAGAAAAACACTCTGCATTCTCACACAGGAGAGGAAGTGACTTGAGACCTGCGCTTGTGCAACCAGAAGCCGATGTCTGTACATAAAAAGGGGGAGAACAGTCACAATAATGTTCTGTTAAAAAAAGAGTTCACCCAAAAATAAAAATATTAGTTCACACTTTTTTCAATTCTCACTATTAACTAACTATTGACTACGACTTTTGCCTCAGTAAACTCCTAATTTGCTGTTTATTAATAGTAAGGTAGTTTTTAGTTTCGGTATGTGTGGATTAAGGGATCTAAAATATGATCATGCAGAATAAGACATTAATATGTGCTTTATAAGTACTAATAAACAGCTAGTAATATGCATGATAATGAGCAACTAGTTAATAGTGAGAATTGGTCCCTAAACTAAAGTTTCATTATTAATATTAATTAGTTATTTTCAGCACTGAGACCATTTTTGTTGTGTACTGTACAAAATATTGTGGAACTGCAATATAAACCCATTTATCACCCCAATGTTTCACAATATAGAAAGATTTTATGAAACAACATAAAATGCTAATGAACTGCTGATGTTACACAAGCACTAGCAGGCACACAACTTAATAAACATTTCATAAATATTTACAATGCATTTGTAAAGTAATCAAAATTTGAAAATTTGTAAATAATTTTTTCCCCCATCAATCTACATTTTGTGACCAAAATATATGCTAAATATATCTTTCAAACAGTGAAACACCAGACACGAGCAGAACGATGCGACTCGACTAAAGTCCATAGAATTCATTATAATTAGTGATTCTGTCCAGTTTAAACAGCTTCTAGCTGTTGCGGCGGGAAGCAACGCGTCGTCAATATTGCGTTCGGTGCAGACGTCTTGTAATCCTCGCAGGCATCTCTATCATTTTGTTACTGGCGTAATCCTGTGTTTGCATCTCTCTCATATTTACTTGCCTCCTACTACATGCATGAATTGCAATGATGAAGAAGTAGGCATTGATCTTCTTCTGCAGAGGCGGGCTTTCATCACACTATGACATC